TGAATCTTCCAATACATCAATGTGGAATAGCATACATTTATTTTGTTCTTCTTTAGGATTTAAATTTAGCTTTATAATTTTTTCACAAAAGTCTTTCAGAACTTAATAGAACTTTCTCTTTATTCTAATTGTTGATATGCAGATTTTCCTAAGTGTTTTTATTAGATACAATTATATCATCTGAAATTAAAAGTTAACTTTTCCCTTTTCAATCACTGTTTAGATGTTGAAGAGAAATATCCATAAGGAGATTTGATTTGTCCTTACAGATATTTCTCTTCAACAACAGTGACTGAAAGTACAGGTTGTCTTGATCTTCTCTTTCAATTGAATGCCTAAGACTTTTCACCACTAAATAACAAGTTTTTTGTTGATTTTTTTTTTTTTTTTGGTAGATAGTCTGTCAATTTAGGTAAATTCCCTTCTATTACTAGTTAGCTAAGAGGTTTTTTTTTTTTGAATGACAAACCCATGTTTAATTTTATCAAAACATATTCTGCAGCTATTGAAATAATCATATGGTTTTTTAAAAATTTGTTGATGAGGTGATTTATATTAGCATATTTTCTAATGATAAAATATCCTTGAATTTGTTAGTATTTGGCCTATGATTCTTCTATTCACTGGAATGCTGACAATAAAATAAGGATTAATTTTGCCTTGGAAGCAATGACCAGATACTGAACCTACTGGTGATTTGATCTTGGACTTCTCAGTCTTCAGAACCATGAGAAATATATTTCTATTATTTATAAAGTAACCAGCTTAAGGTTTTTGTTATAGCAACCTGGAATGAACTAAAACAGAAATTGGTAATGAGTAGTGGGGTGCTGCTGTAGTGAATACCTGAAAATGTGGAAGCAACTTTGGAACTGGGTAATGGGTAGAGGCTGAGTTTGGCAAAGTAGGCTAGAAAAAGCCTAGATTTCCATAAATGGACTGTCAAAGGTAAAGGCTCAGAAGAAGAGTTATAGACAGAGCCTCAGTCTTCTTGGAGATTATGTAAAAGATTGTAATCAAAATGTTGGTAGAAATATGGATGCTAAAGGTCATTTTGGTGAGGTGTCAGATGGAAATGTTCTGGAAACTGGAGGAAAGGCTATCTTTGTTATAAAGTGGCAAAGAACTTGGCTGAATTGTGTCTGCATTCTAGTGCTCCGTGGAGGGCAGAATTTAAGAGTGATCTACTAGGATATTTGGTGAAAGAAATCTCTAAGCAAAGTGTTCAAGGTACTACATGGCTTTTCTTGACTGTTTATCATAAAATTCAAGAGAAGAGAAATGAATTAAAAATGAATTTACAATAAAAAGGGAAGTAGAACTTAAAGATATGGAAAATTTTCAGTCTTTCCAGGTTGTAAAGGTTCAAAGGGCATGCTCAGCCCTCTGAATAGTAATTGCAAATGAATATTCAGAGAATACCAAGGGCATGGCTAAGCAAACATAACGTTTGATATGATATTAGTGTGGCTATAAGGAAGCCAGACGCTATTTATCCGGACAATAGAAGAATGATTCCAGAGGCATTTCAATCTTTGAGGCTGCCGCTCCCATCATGATCCCAGAGTACCAGGGCCTTCAAGTCAGAAAGGTTTCAAGGGAGGGGCCCAGGGCACCTGTGGCACCTCAGGGCTCACTGCCTGTGGCCTCCTCAGATATTTGTTCCCCGCATTCTAACACAGTGCTTTTTAGCTGCTCCAGCTGGGGCTCAAGTGGGCTCAGATGTGGCTTGGGCCACCCTTCTGAAAGGTACAAGTAATAAGCCTTGATGACATTCTTGGAGTGCAACTCTGCATTTATATAGAGTGTATGAGCTGTGGAGTCATGGCTATCTCCATGTAGATTTCAAAAGATGTCTTGGAGAGCCCAGAGCCCAGAGCCCAGAGCACTGTCCCAAAGGTGAGATAGGTGCAGAGGGTGCCTACTAGGGTAATGACCAGCAGAGCTGTGGGGTCAGGGTTGCCCCCAAGATCCCAAACTGGTAGAGCCACCAGTGTGCAATGCCAGCCTAGGAGAGCTACAGGCACTAGACTCCAACTTGTGAGAGCTACAGCATGGGCTGTGCCCAGCAAAGCCATGGGGGTAGGGCTGGTTGGACCCTTGGATGTCCAACCCTTGCCCCAGTGTGTACGGAAGGATGAAGATGGACTCAAAAAAGACCACTCTCAAACCTCAAGATTTAACAGTTTGCCTTGTTGGGTTTTGGACTTCCATGGGGCCTGTGACACTTTCTTCTTGCCCATTTCTCCCTTCCTGAATGGGAATGTTATCCTATGCCTGTACCACTACCGTATTTTGGAAGCACATCACTTGTTTGATTTCATAGGCTCAGAGCTGGAGGAGTTTGCCTTAGGATGAATTGTACCTTCAGTCTCAGCTGTATCTGATATAGATCATGTTTAAATGAGACCTTGGACTTAAGACTTTAAAGTTAATGCTGGAACACGTTAAGAATTTTGGCAATAAGTTATCAATTTTGGGATGAATTTTGCATATGAGGACATGAATTTCGAGGGGGCAGGGGAAGAATGCTATGGTTTGACTGTATCCTCCCAAAAATTCATGTTGAAAGTTAATTCTCAATCCAACAGTATTAAGAGGTGGGGCCTTTCGGAGGTGATTAGGCTGTAAGGGCTGTGATCTCATAAGTGGGATTAGCGGCTTGTAAAAGGGCTGGAGGGAATTAGCTGGGCCCTTTTCTCCATCCAGCTCTTCAGCCATGTGTGGACACAGTGTTCCTCTCCTCCAGAGGATGCAGAAACGAGGCACCATCTTGGAAGCAGAGACTCTGCCTTCACCTGCTGGTGCCTTGATCTTGAACTTTCCAGCCTCCAGAACTGTGATAAATAAATTGCTATTGTTTAGATGTTACTGAGAATTAAGGCGTTTTGTTATAGCAGCCTGAAATGGACTATGACAGTATCTATTGCTATTCATTTGCAATTACTATTACTATCCTTGATACTTTAACAAGTGTGTTTGAATTAAATTCCAAAGTTAATCACCATTTCCACCCTTTTCTGGAGTCTTACTCTCATCCTTTATCTTTCCCACTTTCTTGCTGGTCTCCACTCTTCCTTCAACTCTCATCTCAAATGCTACTTTTTCAGTGATGCCTCTCCCATTCCCCAGACTAAACCAGACACCCATATATTTGTCCTTCATAGCATGTATCAGGGTTTAGAATTACATACTTGTGGGTTCCATAACTCAGTAAGCTGTAACTCGGTAAGCGGTAACTTCTGAAAGGGCAGGGATCGCCTCTGTGTGTCTTTTCATTCTATTTTGAATGTGCAGCCGTACGTCTGGCACATGATGTGCAACAAGCTTGGTTGCAGATGGGAAAGCCGGGTGGGAGAAAGGGGGAGGGGCACTGGCTGCATAGGCCGCAATGTTGAGGGATGAAGCTTCAGGGCTGCCAGACCTGGAGGAACTGAATTCCCTCCATCAGTAAGGAATCACATTCTCCTGCTAAAAACAGAACAGAAACAATGATGGCTAAAGCAAAACAGAAAGTTCTTTCTTTCTCAGGTCATGAAGTCTGGGGTTAGGTAATTCAGGGCTGAGGCAGGGGCTCTATGGAGTCACAAGGGATTTAGGCTACTTTTTACACCATTATCCTTGGCTCATAACTTATATCCTCAAGCGTCTAAACTGGTGCCTGGCATTTCATTTTTTGTTTGTTTGTTTTGGGACAGAGTCTCCCTCTGTCACCCAGGCTGGAGTGCAGTGGCATGATCTTGGCTCATTGCAACCTCCTCCTCCCTGGTTCAAGAGATTCTCCTGCCTCAGCCTCCCGAGTAGCTAGGACTACAGGTGCGTGTCACCATGCCTGGCTAATTTTTGTATTTTTAGTAGAGATGGGGTTTCACCATGTTGGTCAGGCTGGTCCCAAACTCCTGACCTCAGGTGATCTACCCACCTCGACCTCCCAAAGTGCTGGGATTACAGGCATGAACCATTGCACCCAACAAGTGCCTGGTATTTCCACCATCACAATCAACTTCCAGGTGGGAATCCAGACCTAGGAGAGAAGGACAGGAAAGATCATGCCCATTTAGTTGTCTGCTCCCTTTTACAAAGCCTGTCTTAGAATCCTACTCCACTTACATCTTATGGGTTATGGCTGAGTTCTATGGCCTCACCTAGCTGCAAGGGAGATTTTTTTTTAAAGCCAAGTGGTTTCCAATTCAAATAAAATCAGGTCTGTGTTATTAAGGGTAATGATGATAACGACATGTGTGTGAGGGGTGGGTGTGATGCTGCTGACTGGGGAATGATCACTGGAACTGGAGTCAGGGAGACAGTAAGAGGAGGTGTTGGTATTTTGGGTGAGAGACACTGACACTGTGAATTATGGCAACGAGACTGGAATGGAAAGGAGGGTCTGAAACAGCACTTGATGGAGGGCCCACTGGATCCTTGATGGCTCTTCTTTCTACGGATTTGCTTCAGGACATTTTACTTTTGGGTTTAATTTCACTTAATAAATCATCTTTTCATTAACTCAAGGTTATTTTGAGTTAATCTCTCTGGTAAATAATGAAATAAACTAAGGCAGAGTAATCTGTGCTTCTAAATCTAAGCAGGGTGAATATTATTTTTGAAAACATATTTCCAAAGGTACTTATTTTTCCCCAAAGCTCTATTTTCAAAGGCAGAGGAACAGAGAGGACATTGATTAATAAGTATAAAACATATCTTTTTAAAAAAATGTATAGCCATTCTTTGCTTATAGACATTCAAGATATATACAAGACTCAATGTCAGAAAATAACAGCCTGGAAACCATCCCGAGGCTTTATCTCCATGCCACAAGCTATCTGTATTTTCTTCAGATAGTCCAAAAATCTTTTAAACTTAGCATTTTCTTTTTCTTCTCCCCAGACCATACTTATAAAAGATGACTTGGGCTTTTTCGACACACCAATTTTGTTTAAGCAAATTGAGTTGCTAGACAATATAGCCAGAAATTTAAACAAGAGGACAAGGCAAAACACTTTCAGACTTCTAGAATCCTTTAATTTTCTGCACACATAGCTGAAGTAAAGCACAGTATCTTATTAAAAGGCCCGTACTGAAAGAAGAATCAGTAAACTCTTCTTAAGAAAAAAAATAAACAGGGAAAACGACACCTACCCTCCCCCAGCTGCTCCTGCGAGTCAGCACATCTTGTTAATTGTGTGGTCTGCTTGTTGTATCCTTGAGTCATTGCTTTACCCAGGCCGCTTCCTTGAACGTGGCTGTGAGGTGCGGAAATGTGGTTCTTCCGTGAGAAATGGGTTCCAGAGAGCTCAAAGATGAGCCGAGTTTGCCTGGGTTAGGTGAGGTCCAGGTCATGCTGTGCCAACCTCTGGGAACATATGGCAGTGGCAAAGTGCAACCCTCTGACCAGACATGGGCTGTGTGAGGCAGGCCTTGGTGGACTTGAGTAGAAGCTCAGACTGCAGAGCCGGGCACATGATGGGGTCCCAGGCTGTGCCTGGAGGAGCAGACTGACGTGGCCCTTCAGTTTAAGGGCCAGGAAACTGCACGTGCTATGCACATTTGTGCTCACTCTCATCTGTGCCTCAAGTATTTTCTGTCTGTCTAAGGTTCTGGGTGGCTCTTTTTAAATAAAACTAGTCTGCTTAACTTTGCCAATAGAGTGGGCTGCTACACTAAAGAGGAATGCGTGTTTCTTGGGGTAAGAGAACCCTAAAGACCTAAAGAAAATCCAAGTGTAGGGACTATTTCCCTAAAATCTCCCCACTTGTAGATTCCTAATCCATCAAAAGAATGTGACAAAAGAAACCTGTTTGGGTGCAACCCAGCCTCACCTGTACCCATAATCATGTTTTCCCAATACTTTGAAGTAGGTGAGCAATAAAGCAGCACTAGGCAGTCTTAGTGAGACATCAAACTTCACATCTTTGTACCAATGTTTAGCATTAGGAAAAAGACTGATGGGACTGATCAGACGATCTTTTCGTTTCTTCAGTTCTTAAATGTCACGGATCTAAAAGAATGAAGATGGGTAAAAAGATAACACTCATGGAGGATGATTGTAATGTGTCTCATTGGCAGGAAAATCCAGTTAAGATGTAAATGTCAAGAGGCCACGATTTCTGGATTGAGGTTTTTTCTATAATTTTAATACAATCTTACCACATCTTAAATACCACAGATACCTGGCTTTCCTTGAAGGTCACTCATGGCCCACAGTCATGTCCTGATTTCTTCCAGGTGATGTTCTTTCCAGAAAGCCCCTCCCTGTTCCTCTGGTCTGAGATGACAGCTTAGGGATGTGGCTAAAATTCAAGCACTAGGGAGGGAAGTAAAGACAAGACAAAATTGGTCAATTAGTACAGAAACGTAAGTGATCTTTCATAGTTCCGAACAGAAGTGAGGTGAATCAGGAAATGGATGGCGTTTTTCAAGTCACATGAATCAGCGCCCCAGAATTCATCATTTTCACCAAGTGCTTTGTTGGTTTCCCCATTCTTTCACATGTGTGCATGGCTCACCTAAAACAGTTTAGGGAAAGCTGTATTTTATTTTGAAAAGGGCGACAGAGCGAGACTCCGTCTCAAAAAAAAAAAAAAAAAAAAAGAGAACTAAATATTTTTGTTTGTTTGTTTAAAAATGATCATCCTTAGTTTTATGTGATGAGAAGCAGCGTAATGCAGATAGCTTTCTAGCAAGCAAGACCTTTACAAAGAAAAAAAAAAAAGAAAAATTTTGTTTAGAAAAAAGAAACACTTGTATATACTTCAAAATGACTTTGTTTATGGAAAGCCTGCTTATATGTTGGGGGCTGGGTGAGTATTTTACACAGATTACTGTCTTTCTCCTTTCAAGCAGACAACGGACATCCCCCTGCCAGGCTGGTGTGTCTAAGCTCCTGGTGAAGAGACTGTAGCTGAGAAAAGGTAAAGAACTTTCCCCATGTTGGCCGGGCGCGGTGGCTCACGCCTGTAATCTCAGCACTTTGGGAGGCCGAGGCGGGCAGGTCACGAGGTCAGGAGATCCAGACCATCCTGGCCAACGTGGTCAAACCCTGTCTCTACTAAAAATACAAAAAAAAAAGGCCAGAGTGGTGGCGGGTGCCTGTGGTCCCAGCTATTTAGGAGGTTGAGGCAGGAGAATGGCGTGAACCCGGGAGGCAGAGCTTGCAGTGAGCCGAGATCGTGCCACTGTACTCCAGTCTGGGCGACAGAGCAAGACTCCGTCTCAAAAAAATAAATAAATAAAAAGAACTTTCCCCAGGTTAAAACTCAAAATTACATCCTCAATTTAGATCCATTTCACTTTAAACAAAGGATGCACTCTAAATTATAATTTGGTTTATTTACCTGCTTATTAGCAATTATTTTGTAATTATCACTAAAATATACATCTTTTAACAGTGCATTGGTGCAGCCTGTAAACAGCAAAACTGAATTCAACTCTCCCCCTACATACACACAAAATTACAGAATTTATCCAGTTAAGTGTTATGTTATCAGACCTATTGGGTTATGCTGTAGAAAGCTATCTTCTTCCCACTGCTTAGCTCTATATGCCAAGAATTTTTTTCTTTTTTTTTTCTTTTAAAGTATTAACTGCAATGTTCAGAGGCAAGAAGAGGATTAGCTGAATACATTGGGTTCTAATTTCTGTCTCCTTCACCCTGGCCACATAGGCTCCACAGGTCCGTGAAAGGCTGCAGAATCCAAGCAGAAGGCAGCTTCCTCCCTACATCTTCCCCACTAGAAGCGGCCAGGCGAGACCTTGGCCTGCCTCTGCCTCACAGGGAGGCTCCTAGGCCTCTGTGCCACGTAGGCAAGAGAATCGGAATGTCTGGAATGGAGCTAGTGTCTTAAGTGCCAAGCAAGGGAAGGGAGAACGGTGAAGCTTTTCATTCAGGTCCCCAGGAGCCTGCAGCTGCCACACAGCAGGCCAGGAGCCCCCGCCACAACCCAGGGAGAAATGCTTGCCAAGGAGGCCTGCCGGCTACTGACACTTCCTCCCAGAGGCCTTAAAGGAAATCCCAGTAAGGGCTGAGTACCCAAGACAGCCAGATCACACGTGCCAGAAACTGAGCATTTGGGGATGGGCTGGGCTTTCATAGAAACCTTCGGAACTGCTTTCACTTAACTCTTTTATTAAAAAAAAAGTTCTAGAAAATAGACACATCGATGGCAATTTGTATTTCCATTGTCCTCTCAGGTCTGCATGGCTACTGTGCGAGCTATGACACCCTGCAGCCTGCAACAGCTTCTTTGTTTTATTGAAGAGCTCAATGGAACCCTTATGGACGCGCCGGACCATGCCCAGGACCAGCGAGGCCCATCCATAACCCACCACTGGCTGGAAGGGCGCTGGTGTGAACACGGGTCCTTTCGGGGTCTCTACCTCATTGCGGTTAGGTGAGGGCAATTCACGCGTTTCTTCATGCAGGGACCTTCAAGCCTCCCTCTGAGGTGCAGATGGAGAAAAAAGGGCCCAGAGATACTGTCCCGCACCCCCATCCAGCGGGAAAGGGCCACTCAAGGCCACTCAGGACTCCGCACCCAAGTTTTATACCTTATACTCCTATAACTTTACCATTTGCTCTTTTCGCGAGGCTGGCTCCCTCCCTCTCTCCCCCACCGCCTGCTTCAGAAGCTGAAAAGCTGCAACAAAGTATCCAATTATACACGTCTTCAAAGGTACTTCACTTGCTTTCCAACTGTTAACTTTTCACCTGAGTACTTAGTAAGGCCCAAAGATCCTGCAAAAGTGCAACAAGGAATATTCGGCTCAGAATTGGACGAATGACTTTGACCATACGGGACTTCTCTCTTAACGCTCAGCGTGGCTACCTGGGGACCCCTTCACCTGCCTCCTTGATTCGTCAGATTTGTTCATTTCCTGGACTTCATCCCGCTGAAGTCGACCCAAACTAGCCAGGAGGCTCACCCCCAAAGGGCTCCTCCAAGAACCCGCAACGACTGACTCTCTCGTCTTCTTTAAGGAGTTTCACTCTCAGAACGGATGAGGGTGTCACACAGAAAGAACAAAATCACAAAGTTCGAGTTCCGGAGGACCAGACGGCCCCTGCCCCCCAACCCCAGGGCCAGATTCAGCCGAGGGAAGAGCACGTACCTGGAGCCGAGGCCGGCAGAGCGGCATCGCCACGTCTCAGGTCTCGGCCGGCGCCCCGCTCCGGGGTGCAGCCACGTCTGAGGCGGGACAGCGGGCGGGGGAGCCGCAGAGGGACCCAGTGAGACGGGGAAGGGAGCCCCCAAAAGTCAGCGCTCGGCCGCACTCGCACTGGGGAAGCAGGAATGGAACTCTGGGGTGCAGCGGGGCTCCCGGGAGCGAAGGTGGGGGTCCCGTACCGGGAAGGGGCGGGGCTCGGGGAGGTCAGGCGCGGGTGCGGCGCTGGAGTTTCACCCCGGCAGGGAGGAGGAGGAGGAAGAGGAGGAGGAGGTGCGGCGGCGGGGGCGTCGTGTTTTTGCTGTAAGTTTCTGTTTTCATTCTCGCAAGGACACGTAATTGAAATCATTCGTAAAGTGAAACAGCAGGGAAGAACACCAGGGCTATTTTTACACCAAATTCTGAAACATTCTCAAAAATTTCTTTTTGACAGAGACAAGCTTTACCAACCCAGAGACCAAAGCCTTTTGCTCTCAGCAGGATCCTCGCAGTCCTCGTTCCGTGGCACATTACAAAACCAAATGAATAGTCGCAATTCACAAAAGACATCAAATGATAGCATCATCTGTCTCATCCAATGTTCCAATAAAAGTACAGTACTGCTAAAAGCACATAAAAAATAGAATGCTCAGTTTGTCACCCCCCACGCCTTCAATGTGTATTATCAGAAATCTTAGCGTCGACCTCACAGAGCAACTGGATACAATGGCTTCTATAAACCAAAGTTTTTTTAATAAGAAAAACTCAAGGAAAAAAATAAAACCTGCTGTTTCCAAGTGAACCAAACAATTACACTTAGGCCTGCTTTTTCTCATGCAAAAACAAACATCATGAAAAAGAAATCTTCTTGTAAGTGGAAAAAAATTCCTGTTTCTTTTGTGTAAATACAGGCACAATGGATACAAGAAAGGTTAGTTTCAAGCTTATATCAGTAACTTAAAGTAATTATCCGCCTTTTAAACTGAAATCTGTATATAAGTGGTTCAGGAAAACAATTAACACTACTCTAAATATGATAAACTGGCATATAATTATCTAACAAATTTAGCAATCCCTAAATTAGGAGTATTGAAAATCTTCTCTTATTAAGAGTCTGTTTCTGTGTTTCTGTCTCCTTATGATCAGACTACCTCTATAATTACATAACATAATCTTGCTGATCCCATTCAAACTCGCCATTGTAAACAGGCATCTTCTGGGGTAAGCTAGACGTAGAATACTTGTCTTTCTTCAAAACGAACTAGAAACAATCATGATTGTGATTTCCTGATGATTGTAACTAAAGTACACGCCTAAAAGCAGAAACGCGATGAAATCAAAGCATCACGCATCTTTCGCCTCAATTGCGATTATCTTTCTGAGTCTAACAGTGCAACAGATCACAAGGAAGACAGATGCCCCAGCACCAAGGAACGAGTTTCACAGGATCTTTTTTCCCTCATGGTTAAGAGACCCTTCTCGTAGTTATGAGCTACTTATAAGTCCTTCGGCCGCACCCTTTCCTTCCCTTCCTTTCTACCGCAAGGCGACAGCTCTCTATATGCCACCCTGGATCAGCTCCCCCAACCTCCGGCCCCTACACAAGAATTGGAACTTCACATACTAGAGATCTGGCCTGGTTCTGCCTGTTATGTCTGCCCTTTGGGACTATCCGCCCATTCCGCCCAGGACCCAGCACGCCTGTGGCGCCATGAGTCTCCCACACCGCCGGCCCACACGGGAAATCCGAGGAATGATTCCCAGGCGCAGTGAAAGTTAAATCCTCAACTCTGGCCGCTGGCTCCAGGTGACAAAGCAAGCAAGGGCAAGAGGTAAGGCGCTCCGCCAAACTCTCAAGGAGACCAGGAATGTGACCATGGCCGACAGGCACCGGGCGCCGCGGGAGCGAGCCGCGGGATATCACCCTCACCGACTGTTCCCACGCACATCTTGGAAAAACCGTTCCTCATGGGGCCCCAACAAACCCCTGAGGGCCACGTGTTTTGTAAAACTTCCGTGGTAAGTCAGCGGAGGGATACCTGGGGAAAGGCTCTTGCCTACAGCTGCAGTCCCACCTGGCTGGTGGTTCCCCAGGCCTCTGCACCCCGCACTTATTGCTGTCTTTTCAATTATACCAGGCCGCTTGGCGAGTTCTAGCTCCCAACGTCCCACCGCCTTCCTGTTCTCCCTGTAAGGAAAGCAGGAAAATCCTGCCCATGCCCGGCGAGGCTCGCGAGGCTAGCGGCCTCGGACCGCCAAGTCCGACCTCCGTGTCCCGCCCCGCTCCCGGCGTGGATAGTCCTGGAGGCGCGCGGGTTGCGAGACACAGACCAGTGTGAGCTCACCTTCCGGGTGATTGGGCAGGGTCACGTGTATCCTCGCCCTCACCGCGACTGCCCTGGCTCCTTACCCTCTCCATGCTTCAGAACCTTCGGCAACAGCGAGTAACACAAAACTTCCAACCCATGCATCTTAGCCTCAACTTCGCGACCCCCTGGACGACGGATGGTTCCTAATCTCTGTTAACGCGAACCCCCGCCCAGGTCTTGCTGATGGATCCCTACCCTGAAAGACGGGCACCTTAACCCCATCTCCAGCCGACGCTGCTAGATCTCCGGTACCGGCCAGCGGCAGCGCGCGGCGGCGGGTCAGGGGGCCTCCGGCCAAGGCCTACGCAGCTGGATCAGGGCGGGATCGCGTCACCCAGGTGCGCGGCGCGCGTGGTGCGCAGTATTCCAGTGCCGGAGCAAGCGGGCTCCGAGGATCCTCTTCAGCGCACCCTGGCTAGGAGAGTGGAAGCATGCAGCTGCAGCCGCCCCCTGCCAACTTCCCCAGAGCCGCCCCCTACCTACGCTGCGCTCCAGAATGGGGGGGGCACCTGCCTTGGGGGCCACGGAGAACAGTCCCCCGAGGCGGCGTAGCCAAGTCGTGGGTGGGCAGGGTTCGCGCCCAGCAGAGACGACCCGCGAAGTGGCAAAGTTGAGGTTTCTGGAGACAGCTCCGCAGGGACAGTCGCGGGTGGAGCAGGGGCGAGCGCCCCGGGATAAGTCACACCAGGCCGGCCTCCCCTGCCAAAGGGAGGTGGAGGCCGGGCCTGCAGCGGGCCAGGCTGCGAAGGCCCACCCGCGTCGGAAAGCAGCGCTTCGGGAGCGGGCGACAGCGAGAGCAAGCCGCACGGCGCCGCCTTCCGGCGAGTAGATCCGCGCGGGTGAGCGGGCGCGGAGAGCGCGGGGCGGGGAGCGCGGGGGCCGGCCTGGGACCCCGCCCCCGCCCTCGCCCCCGCCCCGCCCCGC